GGTTAATTTTAGATTCTCCAATTATGGCTATGTCATCCGCATACATAAGTAGGTGTAAAACGCCAAAATCAGGTAGATGAAATCCTGTAAGTGCTGAGTTATTATAAAGTTCTATCAGGTCGGCCATATATAATATAAATAAAAGTGGGGAAAGTGATTCTCCCTGCAACACTCCAGAATTAATTTTCACATTACTTGAATATTGCCCTTTCCATCGGATAGTAATCTTAGCTTCTTGGTAAAAGTTTTTTATCAGCATTACAAATTTATTGCTAATGCCCATTTTATGCAATTTTTGCCAAAGTAAATCATGTGGTACTGTGTCGAAAGCTTTAGTCAAATCGACGAAGAAGACATATAGCTTGCCTCGTTTTCTTCTCAAAGATAATTGGATGAGTGAATTCAGTAGTAGTATGTGGTCAGTGCATGATCTGTTCTTACGGAAACCTGCTTGATTTTCTAAAATAATCTCTCTTTTTTCTATCCAGTTGTTTAATCTGTTTCTTAGTATTGTAGTGAATAATTTAGATATATTACTGCAGAGGGCAATCCCTCTATAATTTGTCGGGTTGTTCTTATCACCGCTTTTATATATGGGGTGTACTATTGAGTTCGTCCAGAGTTGCGGGTATTTTTCTGTGGACATTATTTTGTTGAATAGGTTTTTCAATTTAGTTAAAGTCGGTGTCGGTAAATTCTTTAGCAACTCATTTGGTATACCATCGAGTCCCACTGCTTTGCCATTCGCTAGTTTTTTTACTACATCATAAATCTCTTCAAGGGTTATTTCCGCGTCTAAATCTGGATCTTTCCAACCAATCATCTGGTTTAACGTAAAAGTAGCTTCATTATTTTCTTTGTTCAACAAATTTTTATAAAATAAAAACCATTCTTTTATATCAATCTCTCCTTGTATTATTGGTTTTTTTCTAAAGGCTGCAATGGCATTCCAGAAGGATTTGGGATCTTTGGCGTTTTTTATCATTTCATTCTTGTCCTTATTAAATTCATCTCTTTTTCTTTGCAGGAGCTTAAGGATATTCCCTCCTAGCTTCAATATATTTTTGGCGGTCGTGTGTGTTATTTGAGTTCCTACATCTTTGTAAACTTACTTTGGTCGTTTTTTTCATAATGTAACAATCTTTGTCATACCAAGGTTTTGAAAGTTGATGTCGTCGTTTTGCGAATTTAATTATATTTGCCGATTCCATTGCCGTGTAGATCTGTTTAGTAAAATTTACTGTTTTTATGTTAATATCGGTTTCATTTCCATCTTCTATATCACTTAAGTTATGTTTTAGCATCTCCACATTTTCTTTCGTCCAAATGAATTTTCGTGTCAGTATTTCATTGTTGTACGAGGATTTAATAGCTTCATACCCAGTATTAATTTGTAAAACAGTTGGTAAGTGGTCTGAATATGAAAGTTCTTCGATCCACATATCCGATATGATCTGTGTTAAACCGTGTGTGTACATAAAATAATCCAAAACCGATGAACCTCTTTCTGAAATAAAAGTGAATGAGCCGTTCGTATCCCCTTTAGTTCTGCCATTTGCTATTGTTATAGAATTTGATTCTGTGAAGGAAATTAGTTTTTCAGATAGTTTCGAAGATATTGGGTCTTTAGATTTTCTATATTTGTTAAGGGATGAATTTAGTTTCAGTGGGTTATGGAAGCCTCCAGCATTGCCTATTCTTATATTGATATCACCGGCTATTAGCATTTCGTTACCTTCATTCATGTGATATTCAATATGCCTAAGTAAGTTTGTTAGATTTTGTTCTTGTAATGCATTTGGCGGTAAATATACAAACAGCAAACAAATACTCTCGGTGGTTTTGCCAAGAAATTTGTGCGTCAAAACATATATCCAATAAGGGTTTTTTTCGATTTTTCTAACCGTATGTTGAAAGTTTTTTTTATTCCAATCAGAATTCCCCCCGAGCCCCTTCCCTTTAGTTCTGTTTTCATTGCTGGGCTTTGAATTATGTGGTATTCATCTGTTAATAATTCGAGATCATTCGTAATCCATGTTTCACTTAGTGCAAAAAGTTCGTATTTTTTTAGGTATTCAACGAGTGGAAATATTGAAGTTATTCTAATAAAACCATTTATATTCCATTGTAAAACTTTTATTTTAGTATCTATATGTTTGGCCAGGGTTACTCGTTTGTCTTTTTTTGCCGATTCACAATTTTTCGTATGTGGATATCTAATTTTAGCTGTGTTTCTATCCGATATATTTTTCGTAACCTTTGGGTTTGATATTACCAATTCTCTTTTGTTTGTATTATCATCCAGTTGCTATAACTCCGCACCCTCCTTGGTGGTGATTTTACCATTGAGAACCCGATAAACTGTTCCATTGACAATCAGTTTATCATCCCTAAGTTTAGCCGTGATTCCTTTGTGCTGTGTGTTACTCACATATAGACTTTGGGCCTGAGAGGCCTCAGGAGAGTTTATAGCAATAACGCCAATTATCATTAACTTTTATCTCTTTCTGCTTCTCCTCAAGGCTACTCTGTCCCCTACAGTCAGCGAAGCCCTCGTATTCTTACAGATGAAATCTGTTAGTTTCTTTTTCAGATAGTGATCCTTTCATGTTTCTGTAAGTGTGAATATGCTGTACTTTTCTATATGTTTGAATAGGTCAAATAGCAGCAGCATCCTTTCTAGGCTTTATAATTCCAATACACTATTTGTGTCGAATTTTTGAACGGAGAATACATTTTATATTTACAGTAAATTGCTTAGAAGTATTTTTATTTACAGAGTATTGGGACTTTGCCGTTAGCTATAAAACATTATCGCCCACTTGGCTCATTATTCGTCTACCTGTGTGTGTTTTTTTTGTTTGTTTTTGTGTAACGTGATAATTAATCTTAGCAATTATAAGACTATTATCCTGTAGTTTTGTTGCAATACCTTTCCCATAAGCTCCTTCCTCTTTATATTAAGTGATATCCGTTTTTCTCTAAATATTATTAGATTATAATCTTTGTTTAAATATATCATGTTTTTTTTTTTTTTTTTGAATTATTTTAAACCTGTTTTTGAACTCGTTATGTTCCGGCACTTCAACAAAAATCGGCGAATTTGCTTTTTTTGCAATCTGCGATATTGCTAGATCTAAATGTTTTCTTGGATTTGCGTTTTCTCAGAAATTATATTAATTATTAAAGCATGAGTTGGAGCTTTGTGCTCCCTTCCCTCAATTCTGTAGAAAATCATATTCTATTCTCTTTGCTTCATCTCGCAAAAATATAGCCTCATTTCCAAATCATTTGTCCTTTCCGAGTTAATACTCACTGATTAAGCCGTTTATCAAGAGATTTCTCAATGTGCTGGAATCGTCGAACAAGTTCTCCCATCCCTGTTTCCAGCTAATATAGTATATTTTCCGAATCTTCGACCCAGTTAATATATTTTAGTTACAAGGGTTGATATCATGTCAGGTATATATTTATAGGATTCCAGTGTCTAATGCTTGACTGCCCTAAGGTCAGGAATATGCTCAATTCCCGAAAAAGGTTAAGTTATTCTTGCGAACACATGTTTAGGTCGATGATAATGTATTATAAGCATGAATACAATGTAAAACGAAAATTAAAATTATACCGCGAATGTTTCTTTTAAAAATCGAAATTTATTTTCAAAGAGAAATAGCGACATTTCTAACTTTGACGATGAGGTATGGGAAGGTGAAACATGAAGAGTAATGGAGAACGGAAAAATAAAAAGTGTCCAGGGGCGGGAATCGAACCCACACCCTTCCGCTTACCGGGCAGGTGCCCCGTCCACTCGGCTACCCTGGACGGAAATGAACGGAAAAATACGTCCAGGGTAGCCGAGTGGACGGGGCACCTGCCCGGTAAGCGGAAGGGTGTGGGTTCGATTCCCGCCCCTGGACACTTTTTATTTTTCCGTTCTCCATTACTCTTCATGTTTCACCTTCCCATACCTCATCGTCAAAGTTAGAAATGTCGCTATTTCTCTTTGAAAATAAATTTCGATTTTTAAAAGAAACATTCGCGGTATAATTTTAATTTTCGTTTTACAATCATCAGCCGCATTATATTGTATTTTAAATGTTACTTTAAATATAAGTTATGAACGGAAAAATACGTCCAGGGTAGCCGAGTGTACGGGGCACCTGCCCGGTAAGCGGAAGGGTGTGGGTTCGATTCCCGCCCCTGGACACTTTTTATTTTTCCGTTCTCCATTACTCTTCATGTTTCACCTTCCCATACCTCATCGTCAAAGTTAGAAATGTCGCTATTTCTCTTTGAAAATAAATTTCGATTTTTAAAATAAACATTCGCGGTATAATTTTAATTTTCGTTTTACAATCATCAGCCGCGTTATATTGTATTTTAAATGTTACTTTAAATATAAGTTATGAACGGAAAAATACGTCCAGGGTAGCCGAGTGTACGGGGCACCTGCCCGGTAAGCGGAAGGGTGTGGGTTCGATTCCCGCCCCTGGACACTTTTTATTTTTCCGTTCTCCATTACTCTTCATGTTTCACCTTCCCATACCTCATCGTCAAAGTTAGAAATGTCGCTATTTCTCTTTGAAAATAAATTTCGATTTTTAAAAGAAACATTCGCGGTATAATTTTAATTTTCGTTTTACAATCATCAGCCGCGTTATATTGTATTTTAAATGTCACTTTAAATATAAGTTATGAACGGAAAAATACGTCCAGGGTAGCCGAGTGTACGGGGCACCTGCCCGGTAAGCGGAAGGGTGTGGGTTCGATTCCCGCCCCTGGACACTTTTTATTTTTCCGTTCTCCATTACTCTTCATGTTTCACCTTCCCATACCTCATCGTCAAAGTTAGAAATGTCGCTATTTCTCTTTGAAAATAAATTTCGATTTTTAAAATAAACATTCGCGGTATAATTTTAATTTTCGTTTTACAATCATCAGCCGCGTTATATTGTATTTTAAATGTTACTTTAAATATAAGTTATGAACGGAAAAATACGTCCAGGGTAGCCGAGTGTACGGCGCACCTGCCCGGTAAGCGGAAGGGTGTGGGTTCGATTCCCGCCCCTGGACACTTTTTATTTTTCCGTTCTCCATTACTCTTCATGTTTCACCTTCCCATACCTCATCGTCAAAGTTAGAAATGTCGCTATTTCTCTTTGAAAATAAATTTCGATTTTTAAAAGAAACATTCGCGGTATAATTTTAATTTTCGTTTTACAATCATCAGCCGCGTTATATTGTATTTTAAATGTCACTTTAAATATAAGTTATGAACGGAAAAATACGTCCAGGGTAGCCGAGTGTACGGCGCACCTGCCCGGTAAGCGGAAGGGTGTGGGTTCGATTCCCGCCCCTGGACACTTTTTATTTTTCCGTTCTCCATTACTCTTCATGTTTCACCTTCCCATACCTCATCGTCAAAGTTAGAAATGTCGCTATTTCTCTTTGAAAATAAATTTCGATTTTTAAAAGAAACATTCGCGGTATAATTTTAATTTTCGTTTTACAATCATCAGCCGCGTTATATTGTATTTTAAATGTTACTTTAAATATAAGTTATGAACGGAAAAATACGTCCAGGGTAGCCGAGTGGACGGGGCACCTGCCCGGTAAGCGGAAGGGTGTGGGTTCGATTCCCGCCCCTGGACACTTTTTATTTTTCCGTTCTCCATTACTCTTCATGTTTCACCTTCCCATACCTCATCGTCAAAGTTAGAAATGTCGCTATTTCTCTTTGAAAATAAATTTCGATTTTTAAAAGAAACATTCGCGGTATAATTTTAATTTTCGTTTTACAATCATCAGCCGCGTTATATTGTATTTTAAATGAATACAATGTCCAAATAATTTATGCTTTAATGAATCCAATTTGTTTTAGACCTCCTGTTTATATGTAGGTACCAGCTGGTTGAACCACAAATTATTGTATTTCTAAATAATGTCTTATATAATATTAATAATCGTCTGCTATCCAATCTACGCGATTCATTATTTGATTTAATGAAACAAATATATAAGTAATAAATCATTCCAATATGAAAATAAATAAATCGAACAGATACATGTGGTTATTTTAAAAATGCTCAAACTTTAAAAATTAACTTTTTTAAAATCTTAAATTACAGTAAAACCTTCATAAAGCGAAATATAATGGAATTTTGAATCATTTTTTCTCTACGAGGAATACTTCCTCGTAAAACGAATGAGAGTTGGTTCACTATATATTTATATAGCTCTGATTAACTATATTGTAGCGTGGTTTATTTGTAATTTACATAATTTCAAGTGTCATATTTCATAGATTCACATATTTTGTATTGAATTATGTCATTGCTGAATAAATGTGCGTAGCTACAATTTTAGACCGTTGTTACAGAGAATAAAGTTTGTTCGCACTTACCTTTCCTCGCGACTATTTTTCATCGCGACAATATTATAAAATAAAAAAGAGATTATGTTATGTTTGCTATAACCCCGGTTCTATAATTTCATATATTAGTGCTCTATATATACAATAGAAAATTTTACAGTAGTTTCTCGCCCCTAACTACTTATTAGCACTTAAATATAATAATCTGTTTCCTAACGGATTCGTATAAATGTGTTAATAAAAAAACACTATATGCACTTCAGACAATCTAGGGTTTTGGTTAAGAAATGCATATTTTATAGTTTAATGGCCGTGCTAAGTTGATGCAAAAATGTTTGAAATTATCCATCGCTACGGACATTTATTGGTGTAATGTATCACCAGAATACCCTTGGAGAGTTACCCATGAGACTTATTTATTATAAAGCTTTGACAATATTAAGAAAATAATTATACATTATTCATAAAGGATTTTATAAAGGTTTTGAATTTCATTGTTCGGGAAATTCTCTCCCTCTCTTTTTATATAAACAAAATAAACGCCGCTTCAAATCTTAAAAAATATATTAATTTTTCCTAAATATTTAGAAAATATACATATCTCCAATTAAATATTTAAATCCATTTCAATTTATTTATTTATTTATTCAAAAGGAACTTATATTTCCATTTAAGCCCATTTAGAAATATATAAATATACATTTCTTTTCCTAAATATATATCATTTATATTTTGTTTAGTTCATTATAAAAAAATAGTGTATTTTATTTATTCATACTATTTGGCATTCAATAGAATTACTGAATACACACATTTTGAAAATAATTTATCAATAAAATTAATCAGTATATAAAAAATATATATTTTTTTATTATTTCTAATATTTTTCAAAATTCACACTTCTAAACGGAAATGCGAGTTTTTTAATAATTACACAGGTCTACAAAAAAAACTTTTTTTTTTTGCACAAGAGAACCTGATGGTGTTTCTAGTGTAACTTTTCATGCTGAACTCAAAAATCTAATCATAAATTTCCAATCACCCATGGTTTTTGCCTGACGATTTTTTTTTTAGTATTGGGATAAATACATGCATCCAACATGAAAGAGACTTACGAAAACATGAAACTGCTTTTGAAAAAGATAGAATATGAAAGATACGATTGGAAAATATGCAGCGATTTGAAAGTCGTTGCTCTCTTGCGTGGATTACAGCTTGGATATACAAAGTTTTGTTGTTTTCTGTGTGAGTGGGATAGCAGAGATAGGGAAAGGCATTACATTAAAAAAATCTGGCCAAACCGTAAAATCTTTACTCCAGGATATAAAAATATTGCAAATCTACCCCTGATCGATTCAGAAAATATTTACTTACCACCATTATATATTAAACTGGGATTAATGAAGAACTTTGTCAAGGCAATGGATCGAAATGCCAGTGGATTTGCCTACCTAAAACAAAAAAATTCTAGGATAAGTGAAGCGAAGATTAAAGAAGACATTTTCGTTGGACCTCAGATTCGAGAATTGCAGCAGGATGGAAATTTTCAAAATAGTTTGAATGAAGTTGAAGCAGCAGCATGAAATTTCTTTAGAAACGTTTGCAAAAACCTCTTTGGAAGTGTCAAGGTTGAAAATTACCGAGACATAGTTAATGATCTGTTGCTTTCCTACAAGGCACTGGGATGTAACATGTCCCTCAAGATCCATTTCCTGCATTCACATCTAGTTTTCTTTCCAGACAATCTTGGCGCAGTTAGCGATGAGCATGGTGAGAGGTTTCATCAAGCTATATCAAGCATGGAGAAGCGGTACCAAGGTAAATGGAGTCCCGCTATGCTTGCCGACGACTGCTGGGCACTCAAGAGGGATCTACCACAAGCAAAGTATAGAAGAAAATCCACTGTCACTGCTTTTCAATAATAAATATGTTTCGTCCATATATGCCTATATATTAACAATATTTCCAAATTCAAGTAGGTGTATCTCAGAAATATTGTATAATAGAAAAAAACTAATGGTATATTTGGATTCAGGACATGTAGATAAGATGCTATTTCTTTGTGGACAAAGAAAAATATTTGTTGATAAACCAGTTACTTGACATTGTTTGCAATTTTTAGTGTATTTATCCCAATACTAAAAATTGACCGTCACGCAAAAACCATAGGTGATGGGAAATTTCTGATTAGATTTTTGAGTTCAGCATGAAAAGTTACACTAGAAACATAATCAGGTTCTCTTGTGCAAAAATCTTGTTGACCAGTGTTATATGTACATTTCTAAATCAGATGTGTACTATATGTGTATAAAACATCCTCTCTCTTCTTTTAGTGTACAAAAATATATGTATTAATTTTGCAATTATAACTTTTATAACAAACTACTATGTTAATTCGACCGCCAGATTTCAACGCTTTCCCTATATAAACCTGTTATTTTACGTTGGCCGGCTCAAATTATTTGTAATTATGTAAATACGCCTTTGTTTTCTTTGTTGTGCTCGCCTCTTAAGTCAGATAGTACTTTTCTCAAATTATGTATTTTATACTTTTACAATTAAATCAAATTGTGGTTTTATTATTTTTTTAATAAGATATAACGACTGCAAACCAGTACCAAAAAGCTGACGAACTCAAAACAATCAGTAGCAGAGAGTAATAATAATTCCATATCTCAATAATATTCTAAAATCATCAGAAATATTTTGAAAATAATAGTCGACAGCATTTTATTATAATGTATCATTTTCTTGTGTCGTTTCCAATCTATTGGTTAAAATAAAGCCAAAACGATAATTTTATGCCACATTTTTTTTTCATTCTCTGCCAATACCTTCGTTATCATTCACATTGTAAATAATCTTAAAGTGATTTAAACAACTTTTCTTTCTACAATTAGCTCCAAATATATACATTTGTATACATATAAATGAATTTGAAGCCAAATCAAATATATATATATATATATATACAAATTTTTAATTATTCCATTTTTTAAATATGCTAATACAGACAATGTGAAAAATGAAAATTTTAAAGTGGCAATTTAAGGCGTAGAGAGAATTAGCATAAAATAATTAAAAAGGGTTCTCTATTTCAGTCCCATTACCAAACTGGCACGATTCCAATGCCATCCAGGTAAACCCCCCCCCCCCCCCCCCTCTATACCTAAAATGTTTTCTGTAGGAATTTAATTGTATTTCCTCTTTCAAAGCGTTTAATATAGTAGCTGATTAATAAATAGGCATCAACTAATAGTAAAAAAGAAGTCTTAGATGATTGCTCAGCCATCTATCGGATTATTTATAAACTAAATCGTTTATCCACATTAATAAAAGAAAGCCATTAAAATAAGTATCAGCCTATTGGCTTGTGTCAGCGTTGTACAGATGTCTTTCAACACAGGTAATGGTGATACTGCACCAGGCTGACGATGGCCAAAAGTCCGATATCCGTACTTGGTTAATTTATTTTATTATATTATGAAATATGGGTTTTATATTGGTGGCTCAAATCTTAAGAGTAGTGCAAAATATTATGGCTATTAAAATAATCAAAGAATATCGTCGATCTCTTTTAATGCTGCAACAACCTTTTCATATCTCATCCTAATTCACTTAAAAATAAAAGAGAAAATTAAACTAAAAAAATATTTTGTGAAGGGAAAATATTCAACCGATAATATATTGTGGAAACCAA